AGAAAGGGAGAGAGGTTCTTCCATCTGCTGGTTCACTCCCCAGATGGCTGTAAGAGCCAGGGCTGGGCCAATCCAAAGCCAGGAGCCAGGAGCTTCTTCTGGGTCTCCCACGTGCATGCAGGGTCCCAAGCACTTGTGCCATCTTCTACTGCTTTCCCAGGCCACAGCAGAGAGCTGGATCGGAAGTGGGCAGCTGGGACTAGAACCGGTGCCCATTTGGGGTGCTGACACTGCAGGCGGCAGCTTTACCTACTAAGCCACAGCCTGGCCCCATTTTTTTTTTTAAGATTTATTTATTTGAAAGAGTTACAGAGAGGCAGAGAAAGAGATAGGGAGAGGTGTGTCCATCTTTCTTTCCATCAAGGGCTTTATCAGATGCATCGACTATAACATAGCCTCTGACCTTGTACTATTTGCAGTTGGTTTTCATTTCACAATTTTTTTATCCCTCACAACTGGATTACAATCAGTTATTCACACACACACAAGTTGAAATAACAAAACCTTATTCAAAATATATTTGTAAAATTATTTCTTCTGGCTTTCATTACCCTCAAAACACTTCCTGTTTTTCTAGAGTTCTTATTATGTCTTGGGTTTTCTTTTGCACTCTTGTTGACACATTGGTTTGTTGGACACATACAAGGGTACTTCAGACAGTTCATGGAAATAGAACCTAAAGATAAGTTTACATGGTTCTAAAAAAGTGGTTTAAGGGGCTGGTGTTACCGTGTAGTGGATAAGCCGTAGCCCTTGATGCCGGGAACTTGTTCGAGTTCTGGCCGCTCCACTTCTGATCCAGCTCCCTGCTGGAGAGCAGTAGAAGACGGCCCAGGTGCTTGGGCCCTGCTCCCACAGGGAGACCCAGATGGAGCTCCTGGCTCCTGGCTTCAGCCTGGCCCAGCCCTGGCCGTTGTGGCCATTCGGGGAGTGAACCAGTCGATGGAAGTGCTCTCTCTCTCCATCTCTTTCTGTCTCTCCTTCTCTCTCTGTAGCTCTTTCAAATAAATAAGTACATTTTACTCTTTTTTAAAAAAAGTTTTACACTCTGCATAGTTCTTTTCAAAATACACGTTTTCCATAAACTTTTGAAGACCACTTGTTCAGCTTTTCAGTCTTACCTGAGAGCAGGCACTTCAGGGGGAGAAGGTTTGATTTGGCTCACCGTTTTAGAGTCTCAAAGTCCAAGACTGGTGGCCCTGTTAGCCTGGCGCCTGAAGGGGGTGGTGGATGGCAGGCTGCCTGTAGGAGGAGGAATGTGGAGGCCCAGGAAGCAGAGGGGACAGGGAACATGCTCACCCGTGCACCACCCTTCCACCTAGTCCAGTCAGGTGCTTCCCAAAGACCCTGCCTCAGACACCAAATTGGGTTGAGCTCTGCCCTTAATCCATTGTTGGTGAAAATAAGACTTTGGGGACCAACCCCCTAACACAAAGGCCTCTATGAGACACCCATACTGTTACCCCAATCATAATACCCCATATGCGTGGATTGGGAAAGTGGGTTTTTTTTTTTTTGGACAGGCAGAGTGGATAGTGAGAGAGAGAGAGACAGAGAGAAAGGTCTTCCTTTGCCGTTGGTTCACCCTCCAATGGCCACCACGGCCGGCACACCGCGCTGATCCGATGGCAGGAGCCAGGTGCTTCTCCTGGTCTCCCATGGGGTGCAGGGCCAAGGACTTGGGCCATCCTCCACTGCACTCCCTGGCCACAGCAGAGAGCTGGCCTGGAAGAGGGGCAACCGGGACAGAATCCGGCACCCCGAACAGGACTAGAACCCGGTGTGCCGGCGCCGCTAGGCGGAGGATTAGCCTAGTGAGCCACAGCGCCAGCTTGGGAAAGTGTTTTAAACACCGAAATACACTTGTGCTTTAATTCTATTTTCCATGAATTTTCAAGGATCAGAGTATGTAAAAGTACGTAAGAAAAGAAATTACTCGGCTCCAGGAAACATCCCTGTATCATGACTTGCCTGGTTTCAGAAAGTTTGGTCCATTTCAGCTGGCTGGTTTCAAGGTTAGTGAGCAGGGACCAAGGGCTGTGCCTTCAGTCCGCCTTCAACCAGAAATGAGCAGTTCCAGGAGTGTTGTCTCTCCGTCCACCTCAGGAGCTGACCGGCTGCCGGCCTGGGCTGGATTTCTGTCCAGCTGTACATCTTGAGTGGAGCCGCACCTGGGTGGCGACTATTTCAGGAAGGTTGGGTGCACCTGTTGCCCACACGCCTTGCCGCTGGCTGCAGCTCAGCTGTATCACATCGAGAGAGACCATCTCCCACCTGTAGGCTTAGGGTGCGAGGTGCCCAGGAAGCAATAATGACGATGACAGAGGCGGCCGCCCGTGACCTCTGCCAGGCCGGGGTGTTGGCCTCTTGTTCACTCACTGCTGCATGGTGGCTCCCAGTGCCCAGGGCCAACACTGCTTACGGCCAAGGCAAGCAGAGTGAGGCCAGCAGGAGCTCAGTGACCACCTGCGGGTCTGGTCTTCCCGTGCCATTAGCCCTCACGGCATGGCCATGGCTGCAGCGCTGTCGTATTCATTTAATAAGTGAGAAAATGGAAGTTCTCAGGTTGACTGTCCCAAACGGTCACGCATGGGAGGGAGGCCTTCAAGAAGTTCATGGAAATGGCATATGATCGGAAAACTGCGTGAGCTTCAAAAGGCTCCTGCACCAACGTCCGTTTATCCGTTCCTTCTGTTCTTCCTAAACTTTCCTTTACGCAGCTGATGAGAGGGAGCAGCGACCTGAGCTCAGGTCTCTTTGGCCCCAGCGCCTTCTGTCTCTTTCTGCGACTCTTCCTGGTGCTACCAGGGGACAAGCCCAGTGACCTGACCAGTAAGATGAGTGCTCATCAGAGTGTTTGCTAACCACAATATTAATTACCCCGGGGAGCAGGTTAAAGGTTATTTGTAGGGCAGCGGGAAGCCCAGTCTATGGCCAAGTGCAGATAAAGACCGGGGCAGGGGCTGGCTTTACTTGACTCTGTGCAGGCAGGGTTTGTTAGAGAGGGTACCAGGCTGGTGGTGCAGACGGCCGTGGAGCAAGGGCGCGCGAATCCTCTCCACTTGTCTAGTAAGATGTTGTTTGTAGGACAGCTGGGGCCCTGGCTTATGGCTGGGTCTGTGAGCAAGGGAGAGAATACACAAATGCAGTGCCTCTGCCTCTCTGTAACACTCCCTGTCAAATAAATAACTAAATCTTTACAAAATTAAAATATTACAGGCATAGCCAAATTCCCTTCTAGTCATTGCTTCATCCCATTCTTAAGGGAATCACTGTCACCACTTTGCATGCTTTGTCCCAGGACTTTTCTCTGTGGTCACTCACGCACACACACACATGCACACACACACTCACACACACACGCACACGCACACACACATCTTCCTATATATTCTTACGTAGCTGAGTTTATGAATTTTTAAAAAAGTGTCCATGGAATCCTACTGTGTTTTTCTGAACTCATTTCACCCCGTAAAAAGGTATCTCAGAAAGTGTTCTGTTTATGCAGGGATCTGCATGGCTCTTCTATGAGGATTTTAAATGTTAAGTTTTTGTTTCAATGACAATAGAAATGCGTTTCCTGTTTTAAAGAGCCAGCTTCCCCTGGAGTGATAATGAGCAGTTGGGAGGGGAGGGTTTTATAGAAGAAGGCCTTGGAATGGACCACAGGTGGCAGTCTGCAGAGGCTGGGAACCGGGCCCCCTTCTAGGGGCCCAAGGAGCACGGCTTTTTGCCTTTAGAAGACATCTGTGAGTTCCGTTGGGGACGCAGGGAAGTGTCTGGCCAGCAGCACGGGGGGCGCACTGGGCCGTGAGACCGCTGCTGGAGCCGCTGCACCCTTTGAGACGTCCTCCTTCACCCCTAAGTTGAAAAGGAGCCGCAGTGTGGGCTCCACAGGAGCATGATAGAGATGCAGAGCCCCAGGCCCCACCCGCACCGGCCTTGCCACAAGACCGCAGGCGATCCGTGCCCGCTGGGCTGGAGGAACACTGGCCCTCTGGTCCCTCAGGCCCGTTCCAAGGGCAGCTCCCTGTTGTTGTAAATGCCAGCAGCTGGGGCACCCAGGCAGCCAGAAGCAGAAAACACAGTGGGCAGCACTCGGTCTGGGGCAGCGGCAGGTGCCTCCCCCAGAGGCCGGGGCCCCCCAGCTCCCCCGCCCTCGGGCTCCTGTTTCAGGATCCGAGTCTTCTGCTGAGTCATCAGGGAACAAGGCCGGAGGAAGCACTCGCTTCCTGTGGGCCTGGCGGAGCGGGTGAGGCCTCACTCAGAACAGGGTCTGTGCACGAAGGTGCAGTGGCCGCTCCTAGAGCGCCGTGGCTGGCTCTGTTAGACAGGAAGCACGTTACGTTCTTTTTTCCATTCCCATCCGCGTTGTCTCTGGGAGTGGCCAAAGGATGGGAGAAGAGCAAAGGATTTGTGTATCTGTCCGCTTCATCCAGGTGGGCGTCAGGGCACAGGCGGCCGTCTCTTACCCACAGGATCCCGCAGCAGGGTGAGGGGTCTGTGCCCCTGGCCGCTAGTCCCGCCCAGTGGTGGGGCTGTAGGTCACTTCTGAGATGTGCCCCACCCAGTGTCAGCACCCACAAAAGGCTGCCACCATCTCTGGGCCCCCTGCCTCGTGGGGGTCGGGGTTGAGCAAACCTTTCACGTATCCTGTTGCCATTTGGTTTTTCAAATAGTGATATGGTCACGTGATTCAAAATCCAAAAATTGTACAGTTAGATTGGAGAGTGTTAGCCCCGCCCATTTCTCCCTCTGCCTCTGCTCTTGTAGGCAATGACTCTGGTGTTTGTTACATAGCCTCCATCCAAACACAGGCAAGTACAAACACACGGTCTTCCTTCCGCCTTGTGTATACAACAGTAGCATACTGTCTGCATGGCCTGTACTGTTCCTTGCTTGCTTCAAGATGTACACAGCTCTTGGTTCCTGTGCTTGGGGAACCGGTTCTAGGACTGCCCCCACCTCCAGCTTCCAAAATCCAAAGATCTTCAAGTCCCTTCTTTTTAAGTTTTTTCTTTAAAGATATATTTATTTATTTGAATGTCGGCGTTACACAGAGGGAGAGACAGGGAGAGAAGTCTTCCATCCGCTGGTTCACTCCCCAGATGGCTGCAACAACCAGGGCTGGGTCAAGGCTAAGCCACGAGCCAGGAGCTTCTTTGGGGTCTCCCATCACGTGCCTCGGCCCTTCCTACCTGGAGCCCTGCTGGACCTAAGGGAGGTGCAGAAGCCCCCGCAGGGTGGGATTCCCTCCACAGCAGGGGCTGAGGGCCAGAGCTCCGGGTCGGGCAGCCGCTCCTGTCGGTGCCACTTGTCGGTGCCGCTTGTCGGCTGTGTCCTTGGCAGTTTGCCCGGACCCCTGGCTAGGCCAGCCTTCGAGGACTACGTGCTGCAGGTGGGAGGGGCCTGGTGGCAGAGGAGCGGGTGTTTGCAGGTATGAACGTGGGGCCAAGGAGCACAAGTGGGGCATCTGGAAGGCGAGAGGCAGGGCTGCCCCATACCCATGTCACAACACCCAGGGGTTCAAGGCCTGGCCTCACCCACTGAGGGGGCTCCTTACCGCTCCGGGGTTGGGCTCAGCAGCAGAGCCGCCCAGAGCCAGCTCAGAAGCCCCGGGAACGGCAGCCAGGATTACTCGTGCTCATTTTGGCCCTGACCTTCTCCTTCCTGTGCCTTGTGGGTTAGAGCATGCAGGAGCAGGTGTGGGGAGAAGGGGGAGGAGGGGGAGGGGGAGGAGGGGGAGGAGGGGAAGGAGGAGGAGGAGGCAGATGCCCAGGCACAGTGCTGGGCGTGGCGGGGCCTCCAAACCAGACCAGATATGTGTGGTCCGAGTGATGCGTTCTTCCCTTCACAGACGTGAGGTTCCGCCTTCCATCCCACACAGGGCGACTCAGCCTCCTGCTCCTACGCACGTCCTGGAAATCATTCAGTGGTGGGAGGAGAGTGAGCCCCGTGAGGGAAGGATTGTCCTCCAAACCGCCCCCACCCCGCGACTCCGGGCCACCCCACAAGGGTTCACTGAGCACCAGCTGTGCACCCGGCTCTGCTGAGTGTGGCGACGCCGCGCTGCGCAGGCGGCCATGGCCCTGCCTCCCGGAACGCGGCAGGATTCCCCATCAAGTGCATTTCCGACACGACCAGCTCCGTACTGCCGCGCCTCCTCCTCTGCTGCCAGCACGGAGGATTTTGTCTGCCGCAGATCTTAGTAGAAACCAGTGATGGGCACTCACAGCCGAAGTGGCTGCTTCTCATTTCCTGTTGCGTCTCACCTTTCACCCATACCCCAGAGGAAAACGGCCGCGATGGAGACGTCCGACTTGGGGTAGGGCCAGGAGAATATCGGAGGGAGAGCTCTTCTGGGTCCCCTACACAGAGACGCTGGGGTGCTAACCAATACTGGTTTTGAGATGAGGGCTTCCCAGCGGGTGGAAGTCCCAGCTCCTGCTACGTGAGTGTTGGCAGCAGCGTCTTCTGATGTCGTGGGGTTGAGCTGAGGTTCTACAGGAGTGGGGCTGGGCCCGTGACCCACAGGGACTGATGTTCTTTGGGAGAGAAGGCACAGGCAGCCGAGCTTAGGAGGAGGACAGCCCCGTGTAGACGGAAGCAGGGGTCGGAGCTTCGTGGCTGCAGCCAAGGAATCCCAAGGGCTGGGGGCTGCTGCGGGAGCCGGGAGACAGGCCTGGCACGGGCCCCGTCCTGGAGGCAGCCCGGCCCTGCAGACGCCTTGAGGAATGTGTGGACGTCTGTGCTTCAAAGGCGCCAGGTGTGCGGTAATCTGTTATGGCAGCCGCAGGAAGTATCCGGACACCTGGGAAGTCAGCCCAGCTGCGGGGGACACCGCTTGCAGCCCGGACGTCCCGGACTGGAGTGCCAGTTCCAGTCCCGGCTGCTCCACTTCCCAGTCAGCTCCCTGCTAATGGTCCTGGGAAAGCAGCAGAAGATGGCCCGAGTGCTTGGACTTCCGCCACCCGTGTGGGGGACCAGGATGGAGTTCCTAGCTCCTGGCTTCATCCTGGCCACTGTGGCCACTTGGGAAGTGAACCAGGGAATGGAAGATTCTCTCTAAGTCTGCCTTTCAAATATATATATATATATACACACACACACACACACATATGTATATACATATATATGCACACACACATATGTGTATATATATATAGTGAGAGAGAGAGAGAGAGAGAGAGAACGCTCACCTCGGGGCCGACACTGAGGCCTTTCCTACTCCCAGGTTACTCGTCCTCTGGGTGATGGCACCAGCAGGGCGAGGCCCAGCAATGCACAGCCGGGAGGAGTTGTGCCCGCAGGGGAGCCGAGTCCTAGTGCACACAGGAACCTCCCTGCTCCCTTGCCCACCGCCTGGAGGAGGACCACGGCTGTAGTAGCTAAGCAAGTAGCTCAGAAGAGTGGAGAGAAATTAGGAGCCGCAGGTGGATTTTCCCTAGGAACGCGAGAACTGCTCGTCAGTCCACCGTCGGGTGGACCCACAGCCCGGTGGGGTTTGCATTTCCGCTGCGTTGTGCTCTCAGACCCTGGAGCCCTCTCTCCCACAAGCCGCTGTCAGAGCCGTGCGTGGGACTTCGGGGACATCTGGCCACGGAACTCACACAACACGGAGCTCGGACACAACTGCGCACGGCTCAGTGACTTGGAAATAGAACTACCTTCCTGTAAGGAATGACTTGTCGTCTGTGAGGATAACGAGAGTGGGATACTCAGTCTGTGTCCAGAGACCGCAACATGTTCGTGCCTTTTCTCCAAATGCAGCACTTTGGGAATATTACGGGTCTTCACGCTGAGGTCAGTCTGCCCCGTGAAGGCTCGGAGCTTGCAAGAGAAGCACACACCGGGCGTGTCCGAGGAGCGTCTGGACGAGTCTCAGGTGCACCCGGGGTCTGTTCTAACCCACCTGGAGCGACCTTGAGCCAGCCTGTGTTCTTTGCACATTCCTCATCCAATCCCAGAAGTATCCTTCTCAAAAATGATCAGTGTTTTCCTTTTCAGCAGATCCAGCCTCTGAAGATGGAACCCATTAGGTTCTAAAAATAGCAATCCCCAACCACGAGAAACTCACCTGGCTGACGGCTGACGTGGAGCCTGCCTTCTCAGGCCAGGCCCAGGTCCTCAGTGTGCAGCGAGGCACAGACAGGTACCCTCCCGGAATCCAGGCGGTCAGCCGCCTTGGAGCCCTCCCCAAGACCCTGTGGAAGTTGCTGGCTCGGGTCTCCCGGGCCTGGTCACTCCTGTTCCGCCCTGGATGAACCTTCTCTTCACCTTTTCTCACAGTGCGTTTGTCGGCTCCACAGTAGGGTAGGATTATGGGTGGTGGTGCAGCAGAGCAATGGAAACTATAAATGGCCCCCAGACAGGGACTGGCTGAGCACCTTGTGATACATCCATAGGTGGGACGCTCCTAGGTCATCAGCATTCAGCTTTGAGGAAACGATGCCCAAGCCGTGTAATCCCAGTTTCACTGTAACAGCAGTGAAAGGGCATGACAACACCATGGGTGGTTCCAATGTGCTTCCTTTGGGATTTCTGGAAATTTCATGTCTTTTTTTTCCTTTACAATGAATATTAATTCTTTTTTTAAAAATCTTTTAATTTTAATATAATTTTAAGTTTACAAAATGGTGAAGTTGTGCCGTCCGTACACCCCACAGCCAGTTCCCCTCTTGTTAACATCGCATGCTAGTGTCATCTATCTCTCATGACTAATGAGCCACACCAGCTTCCCCTGCTATATTAATCCAAATTCCTTCTCCCCCATCCCGGCCTCCGGAATCAACATTTTGTGTTCATATTGAGATTTGTTTTTTTAAACCTTCGTCAGATAAGGTATTCGTCTTCCTGTGTCTGACTTATTTCACTTAAAATGATGACCTCAAGTTCAATCATTTGCTGCAAATGACAAGATTTCATTCTTGTCTTCTATTGTGTGTGTGCCATACGTTTTCTTCACTCATCCGTCTGCTGATGGATGTCCTGGCTCACTCCCTACTCTGGCCATTGTGAATAGGGATGCTGTAACATATCCCTTTGATACAATGATTTCATGTCTTTTTGTCTATAGGGGTGAGATTACTGGGTCATGTGGGGTTCTACTGCTAGTTTGTTAAGAAATCACCACACTGTTTTCCAACAGTATATTAGAGTTCCCCTTTTTTCACATCCTCATCAACATTTGTTACTTTCTGCCCCTTTGTAATATAAAGAGAGTCGCTTATTGAGCTATATAAAGATTGTAGCCGATTGCTGGGTGTAGTTCTGTGAGTTTGAGCATTTGTCTACAGCGGGTGATTGACATGAACCTTTCCCACGGCCCTGTTTGGGCTGAGAACTGCCCTGTGCCCTCTGAAGGGTCAGTGGGGTCTGCAGAAATAAGCTAAGCGATTGACAGGAGAAAAGGCACACACCTGGCTGCCGTGCGTGCGAGGGAGACCCCAAGGAGGGCCAGGGCCTGGCACTTAAACAGCTACAGGAAGGGGCAGAGGTGGGGCAACCCAAGGAGCAGAGGCCACCGTGTTGTGAGCTGCAGCCCCTTGGGGCCCAGGTGGGCGCTGGGCGGAGGCTGGGAGCGGCGTCGGACTCTTGGCCTCTCTCTGCTGTCTGAGGAGATCCTGGGGACAGTCCCTGACAGTGCCATGGCGGGAAGAATTGCCCATGGCCCAGCTCTTTGGGAGGAAAGGAGGGCGGTGAGAGGTCAGAGAGACCTCGGCTCTCCTTTAGAACAAAGCGTGGGGCAGGCTGCCGCATCACACCTTGGGGTGCGGCTTTCTGAGCTCCGGGAACGCCCCCGGAGACCCCCTGTGGGCTCGGAAAATGACACCCCGAAGCCTGACGTGTTGCCACGCTGGGCGCTTTGAATGAAAACTGTGCCGGCCACTAGGTCTCTCTGACCTTCCCGGCGGCCCCCTCCCAGGCGGCAGCGGGGCTGGGGCTGGGGCTGGGCGGGGCTTCTCTCTGCTATTCCCCTGTCTGTCAATGGGGGCATAACTGAATTCTAATCTCCGAGATGCGATTAAGCAGGGAAGAGGAGGGAAGGCGAGGGCTGGGACAGACTTTGTCGCAGCCGCTGTCTGCTCTTCAGCCCATCCGACCCCCAGACAGACTCACGTACACGCTACCGTCCCTTCTTGAGCCCCTTCGATTCCCGTGGGAATCATCTCCCAGCCCTCACGGCGGCCTGCGGGGAGGGATAGAGAAGTTCTGAAGCGCACTGGTCTGGGGGTGCTCGCCTTGCTCTGCTGTTATGTGCAGGAGTAGAATTGCATGCCTTTTCTCCCCCTGCCTGTTGTCAGCTCGCTTCAGCAAAGCCTTCAGGGGGTGGAGGAGGAATGTGCCTTTCCTCTGCTCCATGGTCTGCTACTACTGCTTTGCCCGTTCTTTCCTCTGCTCCATGGTCTGCTACTACTGCTTTGCCCGTTCTAGAGCAGTATCCAGGGGCCAGCATTGTGGTGCAGCGGGTCAAGCCACTTCCTGCAGTGCTGGCATCCCACATAGGCACGGGTTCGAGTCCTGGATGCTCTGTGTCTGACCCCGCTCCCTACTAATGCCCCCGGGAAAGCAGCAGAAGATGGCCCAAGTGCTTGGGCCCCTGCACCCACGGGGGAGACCCAGATGGCGTTCCAAGTGTCTGGTTTCAGCCTGGGCCAGCCCCAGCCACTGAGGACATTTGGGGAGTGAACCAGTGGATGGGAGACATGTCTCTCTCTCTCTCTTGCTGTTTTCCCCTCTGTCTCTGTAACTCTGCCTTTCAAATATATAAATAAATCTTAAATAAATAGAATATGGCATAGAGCTGAATAGCACATAGTGTTTCAGGTGTGTTTTTTATATCTCAATATACCTTGAGGCTCCTCCATTGACTTCCAGGTCCCAGATGAGACAAAATCATTCATGCCGGCCGGCGCTGCGGCTCACTAGGCTAATCCTCTGCCTGCGGCACTGGCACCCCGGGTTCTAATCCCGGTTGGGGTGCCGGTTCAGTCCCTGTTGCTCCTCTTCCAGTCCAGCTCTCTGCTGTGGCCCGGGAATGCAGTGGAGGATGGCCCAAGTCCTTGGGTCCTGCACCCCTTGGGAGACCAGGAGAAGCACCTGGCTCCTAGCTTTGGATCAGCGCAGCTCCGGCCGTAGCGGCCATTGAGGGGTGAACCAACGTTAGGAAGACCTCTCTCTCTGTCTCTCTGTCTCTCACTGTCTAATTCTGCCTGTCAAAAAAACTCATTCATGCCTCACCCTGTCAGTCGGGGTTACCATTCCTTCCAGTGGACAGCACTGTGGACCCACTAATAGTGAAATGCCACTCGTGCTGTAAGGTCCTTCTTAATACCACCTCCTCTAAGGAGCTGTTCACGATCTTCTGCCCTAAACATCATGGTTTCTCTTTCTGGAACCCTTGTGTCACGTCATGGCCCTGCCAGGCAGTCGCGTGCTTCTTTGTAACACAGCTCATGCCCCGCCTCGATCCTGATGCGCCAATCAGACGCTGGGCTTCTTCAAGCCGAGAGCCGTCTTCCGCCCACAGTATCTCCACACATACACACACACAGGCACATGTGGTCACACACACAGACACACACACATACACACACAGGCACACATACACACACACAAGCACACACACATATACACAGAGGCACACATACACACACAGAGGCACACGTGGGCACACACACAGGCACACACACACATACACATACAGGCACACAGGCACACATATACACACAGACACACACACATAGGCACACACCCACACATACAGGCACACACATGCACATAGGCACACACCCACACACACACACAAGCACACACACACATACACACAGGCACATAGGCACACATACATACACACAGACACACACACATAGGAACACACCCACACATACAGGCACACACACACACATAGGAACACACCCACACCCACACACAGGCACACAGGCACACATATACACACAGGCACACACACATAGGAACACACCCACACATACACACAAGCACACACACACATACACACAGGCACACATACATACACACAGGCACACACACATAGGAACACACCCACACATACACACACAGGCACACAGGCACACATACATACACACAGGCACACACACATAGGAACACACCCACACATACACACACAGGCACACAGGCACACATACATACACACAGGCACACAGGCACACATACATACACACAGGCACACACACATAGGAACACACCCACACATACACACACAGGCACACATACATACACACAGGCACACACACATAGGAACACACCCACACATACAGGCACAGACATGCACATAGGCACACACCCACACACACACAAGCACACACACATATACACACAGGCACCCACACATACACACACAGGCACACATATACACACAGACACACACCCACAGGCACACACCCACACATACAGGCACACACATGCACATAGGCACACACCCACACATACACACAAGCACACACACATACACACAGGCAGGCACACACACAACCTAACAGACACACACACATACACACAGGCACACACACAAGCACACATACACAACAGGCATGCACACACATATTCACACACATATTCACACACATACACACACACATGCACATGAGGGCACTTCAGAAAGCCTGTGGAAAACGGAATTATAAGTTTATTGGGTGCAAAAAATGTTGAGATCCATGCATAGCTTCTTCACAACCTTTATTTTTCACAAAGCCCTTGAAGACCCCGGCACAGGGTTAGCTGTTGGTCTGACTTGTCTTGGTAGTCCGGCCTTCTCACTGCCCTGCCCATGTGCTGGGCTCATTCCCCTCTGAGGCCTCACAGGGCAGGAGCACTGGGTGTCCAGGGTGCCCGGCCCCGGCCAGCCCTTTGCAGGACAAGCTGACTTAAAACCCTTCTGGGAAGAGGTGGCCAAGGACCCAGACGTGAATTCTTAACTCCACCTACCTGCGGTCTTGCCCAATGATGTTCTGTGACTGATCTGCCCGCTTGAGAAAACAATCCAATCACAGAGCGTGCAGCTGCTGCCCGTGGACGTGGGTCCTGGATCACAACACGGAAAATCTCCTCATTTGACGCAGGAGTCTGAAGTACCACATGGAGGTTTGTGCATTGCCACAGAAGCTCACGGTGCCCGGTGTTTCCCAAGCGTATTTACAAACCCTGCCCTGGGCAGTGATTACAGACTCGTAGGAAGTTGCAAAAATAGCAGTGAGGCCCTGGCCTGCTCCCCATTCCTATGGGTGGCTGCAGAAAATTGTAGGGTTTTGAGACTTTCAGACACCGCCCTCAAAAATTCTGTCCGACTGACGCAGGCGTTTGGCGTGGCAGTTAGGGCGCTAGTTAGGATGCCCGCATTCCTTGCTGGAGAGCCTGGGTTTGAATCTCAGCTCTGCTCCAGATTTCAGAGACGTGGCTCAAACACCCGGGCCCCCGTCATGCGTGTGGGACACCTGGGTTGAGTGCCCAGCTCTTGGCTTCGGCCCAGACCAGCACTGCCCATTCTGGACATGGTTACTTTATTTTTATTTTTCAAAGATTTATTTATTTTTATTTGAAAGGTGGAGTCACAGAGAGAGAGAGAGAGAGAGGGAGTGGGCGAAGGAGAGAGATTTTCCATCTTCTGGTTCACTCCCCCAGATGGCTGTAACACCAGGACTGGACCAGGCAGAAGCCAGGAGTCAGGAGCTCCATCCAAGTCTCTGACGTGGGCCCAAGCACTCAGGCCATCTGCTGCTGACCCAGGAGTGTTGGCTGGGAGCTGGATTGGAAGCAGAGCATCCAGACTCAAACCGGTGCTCCCAGGTGGTGCTGGCACGGCAGGTGGCGGCTTAGCCTGCTGTGCCAAAACGCCGGCCCCAGGTCGGTCCAATGGTGCGAGCCCTGGCCTTGTATTTCAAGCCAGCCACAGCCTGCGCTGCCTGTGCAGAGGAGATGCGGCTGCTTGGTGCACAAGTCCCCAGGTCTGCAGAAGGCTCTTCCGTCTCAAGGCCCGGCAGGAAGGGCTCAGCAGGCAGAGCCAACCACTCCTACTCCTGAGCTTTCCTCAGTCGTCTTGTACCCACCAGGCCATGCACTGGTCTAGAAGTGCATCTCTGGGCAGGGCGGAGGTGCCAGGAAGCCCAGATCCGGCCGCTGCCCAGCCCTCCCGGCTTCCCTCTGAGGCTCACTGGCCCTGCTGTCCAAACTCCAACCAGGAGAGAAGAACCGAGGGAGCCAGGCGCACAGGTCCACAGCTGGCGTGCTGGGGGGAGGCGTGGATGGAACTCAGCCGGGAGCAGGGGCACTGGGGTTGCACGGTGTCCTGGGGTTGGTGGCAGCTCAGAGCACACGGGGGCGGACAGTGGGCGGCCAGGGGCACGCTGGTGCTGGTGGTACAAGGACCAGGATGGTGGGAGGGGAGCCCACACATTGGCAGTCAAGGGCCACAGGGTTCCCTCTGCTGAGAACAGATCGCTTTGACTCATGTCATCTCCCACTCACCTGCTGCTCTGCCACCCCGGACCGGGCCTGGCAATGCCTGGTGCCCAGCAGTCCAGTGGACTAGTCATTCGCCGGGTTCTTTAGCACCGATGGACTTCCGCGCCCCAGGTCACCAAGTGTGTAACACTTGGGATTGTCACAGATGCCCCCCGAACTTCAGGGAGTTAACAAGCCCTCAAGGTCATCGTCCCCCAAGAAGACTGACCTGCTGTTCACCTACCATCACTTCTCTAATTAAGGTGAAGAAATAAAGCCAAGATTTACCCTCACATGTCCTGGTGCTGCTTTGTCCACTTTCCACCTATCACAGGAGGAATCTCCTGATAGTGCTTTGTTGTGGATTAGCAGAGTCATAATAACGATTATGAAATGTGCTTTTCTAGGCTTTAACACGCGCGGTTCAATAGTGAGTGATTTCCTGTGAGGGCTCGCCTCCATTAGGATCCCACAGCAGCCCTGGATAAAGCAGATAACAATATTCCCATCACCTCTCAATGCCAAAAAGAGGGTTCATTCCCCAGACTCCCTGGGGAAAAAACCCATAAGTATAGGCTTTTTTTTTTTTTTTTAAGAAAACATAGAAATAGTTTGTCTTATTGGGCATCAACAAGGCCCACAGTGTGGGAAGGAAGTGGCCTGGAAGCAGATTCCTCCCTCTGGGCCCAGCACACCTCGGGTGTTATCCTGGGTCCCACCCCCTTTTCAGCCCCCATCTCTGCCCTACAGATACCACCTTGTAAATTTCACCCAGCTCTGCCTCCTCTTCCTCATCCCCATCGTAGTCAACACCGGCGCCGCCTCTCCCTAGTCCAGAGTCGAAGCCCAGGTCACAAATGCAGCCATGCGCCAGGCTTCCATCCCCTCGCCCCCGTGAGAAGACCACAGAGCTGACATCCTGTGGCGTGCTGACATCGACGCTGTCCTGACTTGGAAATGCAGCGCAGTCCCCACGTGTCCGGGGCGACACGCGTGTAAATGCACCTCCTGCCCTGGCGTGACACGCGTGTGAATGCAGCTCCAAGGAGGCCACAGTTACTGCGGTACTTCCTACTTGGGGATGGCAACAAACAACTGTGTTGCCTGGTTGAGAATTTGCTGTCTTTTGATCGCTATTTCGAATGCACTCCTCTAATAAAAGGAAGGCTTATTGTGAAACAGGTTTGGATGTTCACACAATGAAATCCCCCACAGATGCACATCCCAGAACAGAGTCTGTCGGTAAGCCGTGCACACGTGTCTTGTAGGCCTTGGGACACACAGTCTCTGTCCCAGCTACTCACTCCTACCAGGGCTGGAGCAGCCAAGGCCACGTGGACACGATGCGAGCGGCCCTACCCGTGCGTCCGCAGGCGGGGCCAGGCTGCCTCTGCAGAGCGCGCCATTCTGTTTCCTGGGAAGCCATCCTCAGCCACTCACCCCGCAGTGGTTGGCCTTTCCTGTATTCCCAGATCCTAACGGACTACCTGGCACTTCAATAAAAGTTTGTTGAAGAAATGAATGAGTCCTCTAACCCAAGCACGCCTACCTGTATCACTCTATGAGGAATCTCCACAAAGTTCATGGACAGTGTCTGCTATGAAAAATTATGCATGGATTTCCAAATGTTCTTGTGTCCAAATAAGCTCATTTTCTACCAACTTTTTAAGTCTCTTTGTATATTTGAGCTGTCAGATCTTGTTTCTAACTATTACCTTGAGATAAAGGGTTTGGGGGCCAGCAAGCACCTCGCCTAGTGGTAAGACGCCTGTGTGTCTGCCATCACAGTGCTGGGTTCAACACCCAGCTCTAGGGTCTGACTCCAGCTTCCTGCTAGTGCAGACCCCGGGAGGCAGCAGTCACAGCTCCAGTAATTGTGTTGCCGCCACACATGTGGAAGACCTCGATTGAGTTCTGTCTCTTGGCTCTAGCCTCAGCCCCAGCCCAGTCCTCGCTAATGTAGGCATTGGTGGAGCAAGCCAGCAGGTGGGAGCACCCACTGTCTTTCTTGCTTTCTCTCTCTCTGTCTGCTTGATTCTCAAATAAATTTGAAAACAAAAAGATGCAGAATCTTTTGAGAGGTACTGAAAGTTTGAAATGTTTCCCTTCTAACAACACAGTCTATGTATCATTTATTGTTTTAAGTACAGTTGTTTAAGAAAAGCATATCCAGCTGGCGCCGCGGCTCACTAGGCTAATCCTCTGCCTAGTGGCGCGGGCACACCGGGTTCTAGTCCCGGTCGGGGCCCCGGATTCTGTCCCGGTTGCCCCTCTTCCAGGCCAGCTCTCTGCTGTGGCCCGGGAGTGCAGTGGAGGATGGCCCAAGTCCTTGACCCTGTACCCCATGGGAGACCAGGAGAAGCACCTAGCTCCTGCCATCGGATCAGCGCAGCGCGCCGGCCACGGCAGCCATTGGAGGGTGAACCAATGGCAAAGGAAGACCTTTCTCTCTGTCTCTCTCTCTCTCACTGTCCACTCTGCCTGTCAAAAAAATAAAAATAAATGTATATCCAGGGGCTGGTGTTGTGGCATAGATGCTGCAATGTTGAATCCCCTCTGAGCACCACTTTAAGTCCTGGCTGCTCCACTTCCGGTCCAGTTCCCTGCTAATGCACCTGGGAAAGCAATAGAACATGGCCCAAGAACTTGGGCCCCTGCACGCACGTGGGAGACCCAGATGAAGTTCCAGGCTCTTGGCTTTGGCCTGATCCATTCTAGGCCGTGGAGGCCATTTAGGGAATGAACCAATGGATGAAAGATCTCTCTCTCTCTGTCTATCTCTATCTGTGATGCTGCTTTTCAAATAAATCAATCTTTTTAAAAAGTGTGTATCTAGTATCTCTTATTCTAAGCAAACTCCTCGTGGAGAGAGTGTGCCAGGTTTGACCAGGGCTTGAACAAGAGGTATTTTGTTTGTTGTTGAAACAAGAGCATCTCAGATGGGGTGTGATGAGAAGGGAAGAATATCCTATCATTAAATCTTGTGTTTGGCCAGACATATTTTGCATTCCTTTTAAGGTTACTCATTCTGGGAAGAAATTCCTACCTTGTTACTCTAAGTCACAACAAAAAAAGGTTCTCTTTGATAAAGAAGAGCTGCCACACAGCTTCCCTCTGTGTGCACCTAACTCCACGCAGAGGGGAGGGTGTGACCCCCAGGACTGGCCTGACGCTCGGGTGTCCTGTGCTAACTGGACAGAGTCAACATCGGGAGGAGCCTCTGCGTCAGAGTAAGATGTGAGCACGCGAGCCACCGGTCCCAGCCGCAAGGCCTGCCGGGACGAGGAGCACAGAGCCCAGACGCCACCCAGGCAGGCTGAGGGGGACGGGGGCTGAGCCCGCGGCGTCCCCGCCTGCAGGCCAGAGGAGCAGCCAGCTGCCGCACTAGGTCCATGTTTACTTCGGGCGTTTGTTTCATTTGCACTGGCCTTCCCGGGTGAGCTCGCTCTGTCTTGCCTCGTGTCATTTTTCACTTGCTGAGACTCAAGGATACGTGCTTCAAATCTCTGTATTCCAGGGAAAGAAAAAGAGC